ACAGCTGCCCTGGGGCGCACTGACAGAGGCGAGGCTGCCGGACACTGGTGCCACCGGGCCCTGTGATGACCAGCAGTAGGCACCGGAGACTGTCCGAGCCAGGGCTCAAACCAGCAAACTTCCGATTACAGGATGAACTGCCAACTCTTGAGCCACGATCGCCAGTAAAGATAAATGTGCAGCTACACCATGACTGTGACTCAGTACATATATATTGTTTTGCCTTTGTTAAATATTGCAGTGAGAGCGAGAGTGTGGAGCAGACACACAGCAGGGTCAGAGGTCAAATCCAGGACTCTGCATTTAGCCACACATGAGGTCACCTGTTGAACCTGTGAGCTAAACTGGTGCCTGGATTCAGTCGTTTAGGAGAATTTACACACAGTACACAGTCACTAAGCTTCATTTGAGTTTTACTGACCCAGAGCTTTTTCAAACACACTCTGAGCATCTTCAGCGAGCTCACTGAGGATAACATTCAGAACTTTATATGTTGTAGTGTAGTTCTGCTGCAGCCAGTGGTGAAATGATGACGGCCTGCAGATCAACGTATGACACACCTGTTCTGTCAGAAAGTCTCTTCAGAGACGGGATATCGAGACCAAACGCAAAAACATAATGTGTGACAGCACCAACCAGAACAGCAGCATCAACAGCAATAGAAAGACCAGGAAGTGGTACAGCTGCTCCAGCTGCAGACAGAGTGGCCAACCAATATAATCGGCGCTTGAAAGTTTTTTTCTTCTTCCTGATGATCTCTGGGTTTATGTTGGGCATGACGAACAGCAGAGCATCTCTCTTCTTTGAAGGAAGGTCTCTGTCTAAGGCAGGGGTGTCAAACGTATGGCCCCCGGGCCGGATCAGGCCCGCAAACGGGTTTAATTCGGCCCATGAGATGATTTTGTAAAGTATAAAAATGAGCAGCAATTTTTCAATAAAGAAACTGCTGTTCCAATTGTGTCCATTGGATGGCGCAATAGCAATTGTGAGCTACTTTGTTTTGCCCGCGAAATTTAAACCTGATGTGCTTTGGCGCCCTCATTGCCCAAATAAGGTGGAGCTTAAAGCTGGACACCAGGAACACCTGCGGAGACTCTACGCCTAAATCTCTGAGTCCTGGCACAGAAAAAACACATAGTATGATGTTAAGATACAAAATAATAAAAACATCTAAAACTGCATTTTATCATTCAGCAGATTCAGTGAGCCGACTGACTTTATACATGTGTAAAGGATTTGAACTCATAGTGTAACTGTGTAAGCCACCATGTACAGACTGGAGTCGTGTTTTCATATTGGTGATTTTATAGCTTACTGTTGCTATAGATTCCTTATTAAGCTTATTATATATTTATACATTTTATAATACACTGTGGCATTTTATGTGTAACATTTAAGCTAATGTGATGAGTAATAGTGATGAGATGGAGGACATGTATTGTGTTTTCCTCTCTCGTTTCTGTCAGATCTGGAGACAAGCGGTAATATCACAATAAACCATCTCACTAGGTGCCCCACGTAACTTAGGATCACACAACATGTTGGCTCTCCAACAAAAATCCCAAAATTAAGGCTCTTCTTTAACAAAACTACACCTGAAAACTTACACGGTATACAAAATGAATTCACATAATGTGACCACACATTACGGTGTGTCACAGAAGAAGAACTTATTTTAGTTTAATTTTCTGAAATCACAAAATCATTTGTTTTGTTTTCAAAATTATTTTTTATTTTAGGTCACTAAAATGATTATCCACATCTGTTTTTAGTATTTAGTTTCACTGAACTATAATAACTTTAAAGTAAACACGGTTATGGTACCATAAAACATCCAGCAGTGCTCTGATTGGTTGGAGGTCCACAGTAACTTCTGCTGCTGACGATTGAAGTTATAAACTGAAACTAAACTGAAACCAGAAAGAGCTCAGAAAACTGGAGACGCAGGTACGTGTAAGTTTGTATTTCTGTGGTGTGAAAATGCTTCATAAATCAGTCCAGATATGAAACTATAACTTAAGTTATATGTAGTGAAATGTAAACCTTTGTGTCTACATGGCAAAAATCAATGACTGTGATGCATTTGGGTGCACCTCGTAAACTTAACAATCTCTACACAAATAGCTGGTGAGGTTGTTAAAAGCTGGTACATTTCTGTTAAACTTCTAATCTTTACTTTGTTGTTGCTTTGGGTTTTGAATATTTCAAACTTCTACACATTTAGTTCTACATGTTGCAACAACACTTATTATAGTATAATACTGCTACGGGGTGTCGTCTTATTATTGTAATAGTTGGAAGGTTCACTAGTGTGAGTGCAGCGGCCGCCATTACAGGCGAGTACGTTGCTCTCCGTGCATCTGGTTAGAGAGAACGTAAAATGGCGTCTGCGACTACTTAACCCTGGCACATGTACGTATGTATGAACAGGGTAGAGCCGCAGAGACCTGGCTTGTATAGTCTTGTTCTGTTAACGCCAAATAAAGGACTGTTACTTTGACTGACTGACCTCCGAGATGTCCGGCTAACCTTCACACCACGTGCCCCTCTGGACCTACTGGTCGCTCCTTCCTCGCCAGACCGCCGTTACAATGTGGAACTTTAAAATGTTCTTCACAAAAATTCAT